AAAAAAGGACAAACCGAAATCACACATGCCACATTTATTAATGCAGAGAGTGGACTTTTATGTTGACACAATTTATTATATTTTGTGGTGCCCATGGGAATTGATAAGTTATGGAGTTTCAAATCAAGTTAATGACCTAATGGTCATTTAAGAGATGTACAATATATCATGCGTACCTTACTCCGGAGTTCGGCGGGGACATCGTTGTCAATATAAAACGATTGACCAGAAATGGAGGAAGAAACTATTTGTCTTTTACTTTCCCTTTCTGAAAAATGGGATCTATAGGCATCGATCATGTGGGGTTGTTTTGTATGCTTATGCACATCAACAGGAAGAGAAGAATTCTCTGAAGCAAAGTTTTGATCCAATCGCTTCAAGATATCATTAGGAATGCCATTATCTCCAATTTTATTCACATTGTAGAGTGTTTCGTCCAACCTAACTGAAAAAAAGTACACAAGTGCCTATTATCAACAAATGGAGCGTGCATAAATCATATAACTAACAAGATCAAGTGCAATATCCATGCATGCTAAAATTGGCTGTCATTAAGTTGTCTTTAGCTACATAGAAGTGGCAGGCCACACCTGGCAAATCAATTTCAGTGAAAATATTTCCGAAAAAGTTCACTTAATAATACAATTGCATGTTTACTGACAAATAGAAATCCAATATTCGAAAAGAAGAAGAACCAGTATGTTCTCACGTAATTGAAAAAAAAAAAAAAATGAAATTGTTACCATTTCTTCTCACGCTATCCACAAACCAGCCTATTGTTACCAGGAATAAGCCATTTGTTGGTCCGTGTTTCAGAGCATGCTCAAACTTACGCCCATGAAAGCTGTACAAAGTGTTAAGTGTTTCACAATTTTGATTGGGCATACTTTACCATATCACAATACAAGATACATTTACCGCTACATTCATCTGCTCACTTTGACAGAAACTAAAGCTGTTTTGCCAGAAAAGAGTTAACTTGTAGACTCACAGAACAAAAATTGTCTTGACACATCATTGATAAAATCAAAGCGGTTAAGAAATAAAAATAATAATATCTGCTCAAAGGAAGGATATCTGAACCACCAAGTGGGTGCAATGAGGATGAAGATGAGGACTATATTCACCTCCTAATCTCTCAGTTGCTTCCTTCACCTGTTTCCTTGTTTCTACAAATCAAATAAAAAAGCAGAAGACATAAAAAGATGTTGATGCTGACAGAACACTGATACACAAAGACAAATGGAAGCCTGTTTATAAGATATATAACATCCTAAGATAACTTTTTCAGGATGATAGATGAATCTAATTCGTAAAAAGTTCTTATATATCAAGATGAACCACCTTTATACGAGTATATATGTTGCTGCTTAAATAGAACCAGATACATAGGTAACCATCTATACATAAAATGTGATTCACTGGCCAGATGAATTTAAGACAGCAAAAAGTCTTCGTAATAAAATGAAAACCATAAGAACCTTAATCATTCTGCATATGCGGGAATCAGCTCTACAACACCCCATCCATTTAGGGCTCAAGCTGACTCACTAATGCTAACACTACTAACTACATAGAATCCACTTTATCATTCATCCAGCATAGTGCACATATCATCATCAAAAAACATAAGCACTGACATACCTTTAGAAAGTCCGGTCACGCAAATGACGAGACCAGAAAATGGTCCATTTGACTTCACTATCTTAACATTAGATTCAGAAATTGTGGAAGCAGCAGAAGCAGGAGACAATGGCTCCAATGAAATTGATGAAATGCCTCTAAATGAGGAAGATAAATCCAGAAAAATCCTTGAACAACCTTTGCCAGCTATCACCTCCACCTTCCCACCCCCAACACCACCACCCATTTTCTCAATCACTCAACCAACAAATGAAACAGAGCGGAATAGAAAAACTCAAAAGTTCATGTGGGAAAAAAGGGGGAATTTTGGACAAGAGGGAGAAACAGGAATTTCGAATATGTTAAAAGAAATCGAATATCCCCACTTGTGTGGACATTCCTAGTATAGCAGCATAAATGAATAATTTTTCGCCCTTGCTTTTCCTTCTTCCTATGAAAGAGGAAGACGGTCAGGTCAATGAGTTATCTTTCGCGGAGGGAAAACAAAATTTGAAAATCTAAAAACGAACAATCTATTTCACGAAAATGAGAGAAAGGGAAAGAGTGAAGGGATAGAAAGCACACATCTTTACTTTAAAAATCAAAAATGGAATGATGGGCAGGGAAATAAGAAGTGAAAGGAGCTCAGAAATAAGAATCTACGCAGAAACTTTTCTGAAATTGCGTTTATATTCTCTGCTTTTCTATCTTTTCTGGGTTTTCTTTTGCTTTTGTGGGGGGTCAGGAAAGTGGGAATTGGCGTGATTCATTAAAACCCTTTTGTTTTTCTTTCTCCCTCAAATTTTACAGAAGCAACAGGTCGAACGCCATGGCCGGGGCCGCTATTGCATTGGCGTCCTCCCATTATTTTTGAACTGTTGGTTTAAAGGACGTTTACTTAGGAACAGTTTTTTTTTCTATTTTTTTTAACGATAACAAAAAATAAATAAAATAAAATAAAATAAAAAATAAAACAAACTCCAACTATGAGTAGAGACCCATATATCAACGAAAATCTTATCTTGTTAACAATTTCTAAAAAGTAATAATATATATGAGTGTATTGCACATGTACTTGTTAAAAAATGTATTAAATTTTAAAAGTAATAGAAAAAGTATGTTTTAAATTTTAAGTATTTTTTTGAAAAAGTATATTATTATTATTATTATTATTATTATTATTATTATTATTATTATTATTATTATTATTATTATTATTATTATTGTCATCATCTTTTGTATTTAAAATGAGACTATCACATATACTACTTAATCATCTTATATTATAATATTTTTCAAACTTATACTACCTCCTATTCTTTTTAAATGTCGTTTTGACTTTATCAACTATTGATCAAAACAAATATCGTTTTGGATCTTTTGTACATATTTTTTCATTATTACCCTCATCTATATATATATAATAAGAATTACCATTTATAAAAAATGGCAGGTCAAACTTTGGTCAAACTTGGTCAGCATTTATTACATGCTATTAATAGCAACTTCTTTTTTTTTTAATGAAAAAACGAATGAGAGATAAATGTTGGCCTTAAGAAGTGGAGAGGTTGTTAATTGTAGTTGCACAATTTTCACAAAATCAAAAAACCTTTTTGTAACATAAAATCATGTACCACTCATCTATTTTCTTTTTTTTTTGGATAAAAAGAAATTATGGTTGATTTAATAATAAAAATTACTTTTTTATTTAAAAAAAATCCGTAACTTTTTTAACATCAAATCGGCTAATAAAATTGTTTTAAATGGCGGCTATAATTTTTAATAAAAATAAATTACGGCTTATTTAATAATTAAAATATAAAATAATTAATTTTTTTTAATCTTACTCTCCAAATCTATATATATATATATATATAATTATATATATAATAAGAATAATCATTTACTAAAAATAATAGCAAAAAAAATTTGGAGCATTAAATGCATATCTTATTTGGAAACTTTTAAAATATATGCATTAATTGCTTCCATATATACAATTTCAAATCAGACATGATCAAAAAGATTATTTCCTTTAAAATTTTATTCAATAATTTCATTGATATCCATTATAATAAACTACAAATTTAATTTTCGTGATTCATATTGATTATTTTATTGTCAAGGTTGACATGAAATGATTTCTCTCCATAGTGAATTTTTTTAATATATATTCCATAGTATGTTGAATAAACTATAAAGCTTTATAATGTAAATTAGAAAAATCAAAGATGTTTAATTATTATAAGAAATAAAATTCTAAAAAATTATCTGTGTATATTTTTTAAAATATTTGTACATAATGTTTTATTTTAAATTTATTTAGATAACTTAAACTAATTACATTAATAAATAATATTAACGTACATTAAATATTTTCATTACATAAAATAAAAAGAAGAAGAAGGCTGCATCTATAACTTTTATAAATGACATTATATTACAACAAGTTTTTTAATAAAATAATAATTGAGTAGTATAGGAGGAACAAGAATAAATAAAATTGTTGTTTTTCTTATATCAAAGAATAAATATATATACTAAAATAAAATTTATATTACTATACACATGTTAGGAGGATAATATATTAGTTAATTTACGGGCTAAAGCTAACAAGCAATTTTAACGTCCCGACAAAAAAATGACGATGATGAAAAGAGGTGGAAATAGATTATCCAACTCTATTATTTTTTAGGGCTTAACGATCAAGCCCTATGAAAATGACTCATTTAATATCTCTGTCCCGTGCATCGCACGGGCTTCGTACTAGTTTAGTTAATAAATATACTACGTCTTTTCATATTATCTTCCTCTTTTTTTTTTAAACATCCATCTCTATCTTCATTAATGAGGGTTATTATTGGAAAAAAAAAATTATTCTTAATTAATGTGCAACTTCCCAAAACTGACACTTATTATGAATAGGAGGGAGTATCATATAACTACTTTGTAGTTAAATTTATTTAATTGATAAATAATTTTACTTTTTTTGGTCTTGGTAAGAATGGGATAGCTACTCTCGCCGCTCACCTCACGGATCACTCGTTGGATCGCAACGTCGTCCTTTGAGGAGTCTTCGACGTTCTTCTTCCACTCATGGTCCCAGGTACGTTTAGCGCTGATGCCACTTGTTATAAACTTGCCAGACAGACAACACCCGGTTGTCGACGAGATCACGGCAAAAACACAAGATACAAAAGAAAACTAACATGAACACAAAAGAGCACGTTCTTGTTTGGTGATATGGCTGAGCATAGTTAAAGTCGAAGACAATCAATAAACATATTCAACCAATCCTATAAAAATACTGTAAAAGAAGCAGTCTACCAACTTTTCTTTCAAAAGGCCGCAGGTTGATCTCATGCATTACTCAACCAAGTCAGATAAGAAATGATCTTATCATGGGAAATGGGATCCAGAGAATTCTGAACCGAACTGAAATCACTCCAAACCGAAAAATAACAGTTGACCATTTGACTTTCTCCTGAATCGAAAAAATAGTTACTACGGTTTTAGAGATTTCACAAATATCCGTACCGAGAACTAAGTCGAACCGTCCCATACCGTACAGAATCGAAATTAAGAACTGAATTATAAAAATAGATGTGTGTTATTAATATATTTTATGTTAACTTTGATCCTATATAATTTGATAACTTTAAAATGCAAATAAAATATTGTAATAACAGTTAAGCTTCACTTAACTTTATGCTTAGTAATAGTTGATCTACAATTGAATATTTCCTGTTTAAAAAAAGTATATTTAAAAAGGTATGAAAGGTTAAAGAAATGTTTTTGTAAAAAAATATTTAATATTTACTTAAATTTGTCGATACATAGTGTTATTCTATCTTATAACTAACATGGTATGGAAGGTTAAAGAAATATTACTTATAATAAGAACTATATTATATTTTGTTTGAATTTTAAATTTTCAATGTCAGTTGTACAAATTTAGTCTTAACTAAAATTTAGAGTTACTTGTAAAGTAGATTTAAAAATAAAATCTTTAGTATGATGGAGTATTGATGAATGTTGGATTTAAAAAAGAAAATATAAAAATTAAAATATAACTAGGTCATCATTTAAAAAAAATTAAAAAATAATTAAAAATCTCTGAATATTCGAACCAAACCGTTCCGATAGTTCCAAACATCGAACCAAACCAAACCGAGAAATAGAAATCTCCGAACTGAATCGAACTGATTTTTTTGTATGGTTTTGGAGATCAAATTTTAATGATCTCCGAATTTCGGTACGGTTCCGCATACTCACCCTTATTTGGTGTTGTTGAATTGACAGCTTTTCTTGTTATATTCTATTGCTTATATAGAGGAGTCAAGAGCTATATAAGACATACAAATCAAGATCACATGGAAACTGTTAGAATATCACTTGTGAGTTGTCCCACATCGTTTATATAGGGAAAATAGACTTAACTTATAAGTCTAATGAGTTACTCCTCCTTCCACCAATTTTTTTGGGATGAAACCCCACTTGGGCTTCATCTGGGATTTCCCTACTTATCATGCACTTCATCTGCGTGGGACCGCGCTCGTTTTTCCCCCCATTTCTTACATGGTATCAGAGCCGATTCTATGTTGGACTGTGTGATGACGTACCCGTTTTTCCCACGTACTCGTTTATGGGAGCCTATTTCTAGTAGGACTTGGGGCACCCGGCTCCGTATATGGGCATGAGCTTTCTTATTACGGACTCACAAGTGAGGGAGCATGTTAGAATATCACCTTGTGAGTTGTCCCACATCGTTTATATAGAAAAAATAGACCTAACTTATAAGTCTAATGGGCTACTCATCCTTCCACCAATTGGTTTTGAGATGGAACCCCACTTGAAATTCATCTGGGATTTCCTTACTTATGGTGCGCTTCATCTGTGTGGGACCGCACCCGTTTTTTGCCCCCGTTTCTTACAGTATAATCAAGCAAATATTCACAACTAATATAAGGAAACAATTAGGGAAAGCAAATAAATCAAATTCACGTGCACAAGGATAATATCTTATAATAAAAATTTTCTATACTTGCGTGCATCAAAATCTGCGTCTTGCTTGTTAAAGTTTGTTTCTTGTGTTCATTCAAGCTTTCAATTTCGTTCACTTAGCTTAAATATCCACCAAATTGCAATTAGAGTGTGTAGGAATTTTATTTTATTTTTTCCTTTGTGTGAATCATTCATTGTCCAAATTTGATTTCGAACAACTTTCCTTTGAGAGACGACCCGAGGTTGGTGTTAACGATCGTGCTCGACAAAAACACTGCAAACACATAGTTTATCGCTTAATTTGTTTTGCACTTAATGGAGTAAGAAAATTAATTTATTAATTGACGGTATGTAAAACTTAACTCATCTTTAGAGGTGAAAATAATTATTTCCTCTAAAAGATAGTACTATGTGTTAAGCTATTCCAGAGTAGTCAATTTTTCACTTTAAATTTACTACTTAAACAAAGTTCATATAATAATCTCGAAGCTCGATTTATGCACATCAGCAAACTTTTTTTTTTTTCCCAGAATTAAGCATCCATTAAAGGTCATTAACGCCCGCCGGAAATTAATCGATCGTTGAGCCAACCAAGGACCATCAACATCAACCATGCAGCCTGCCCTCAAAAGAAAAATCAAAAGGTGGTCCAACTCAGAAGTCCAAATTTCGTAATTATTGGAGTTTGGGGTTTTTAATTGCATTAATCACATCTTTCACTTTATTTTATTATGAAGGAGTGGGTGCCTGGGAAGTACACGCTTTTGTATTTTCAATTTTCAAACTCGATAGTATAGTAGTTTGACCTCACGATAGTGCGAACAACTAATTAAAGGGGTCGTCCAAATATTTACCATAGTTGATATGAAATCATAATAGGGCTATTGTTGACTATGTCTCACCATTAGTTATGTCTAAACTATCCTATGTCATAGGGTGTCATGATAATTTAGTTTGTTATTAAAGTTTACGTTTATGTCAAAAACATATTATATATATATATGGGGATTTTTGGGATGAATAATTAACTGATATAACTTGACATGCTCTTGCAAAGATTGTAGCTCCTAACATCTAATCCAACATAAATACATATTTGATTCATAAAGTGTCTCATTCCTTGCGTATTCCTGAAGATTAAGAAGAGAAAAGGCTCAATCTATTATATTAGATGAGAATACTTGTCAAAACTCGATCCTAGTGAGGACAATAAATTATTACCGTTGGACTTATATCACACACACTTGTACTTGTGACTTGTGAGCGAATATAAATTTTAGAAAAAGTCGTATATAATCAACATTCATCTCAATATTTTGTCATTGATTTTGCACATCATTGTGGTTTTACTCAGGGAGAGCCATATAATATATATATATATAATTTCATGAGGACCCCGTCAAGGGCCCACCAATTTGCATCGTGTATCGGTGTATGCAAGAAAATGATGCAACTTTAACTGGTTGACTAACCAAAAATTATCCGTGCAAAACTAATACTACATAGTATAAATCTGAAGGTGGGTGGTCTGTTCCCAACCATCTGGATTCGGGTTGCCTACCTAAAGATAATATAGATACGAAATAAATTAAGTTTAATGAAAGTCAATTCGCAATGATACCAAGCACAAGCTATACGCGATATGCGTGCTGATACATCATACATTAATTCACATTTCTGTTAGTGGCGCCCAATTATATCTCAATATTCATTCATTGGCCAATTGGGTTTCAACATTATTGTGAACAACATATTATGCAGCAAGGATCATTTTCTATTGAGGCTAAGCAAAGCCTGAGTCTGCAGTCGACAAACCTCATTTCAGTTCTTGTTCAATTTTCAGCGAAATTATGCAATAAATTTAAGCCACAAGAAATATGATGCAGGCTTCAAATACCAATATTCCCATCTCAACCTAAAAATTTGTGAATTTGCTAGGTACAGATTACAATTACAATCCCACGCTATTCGCTGAATTTTTTTGTGTTTTTAAAGTTTGGATTTGAATTAGCCCGTGGTTGCTTGTGTACATGCCATGAGATAAATTGGAATAAATTGATTTTGCTCCATATTAACACTTTATTCAACCGTTAATGGAAACCAAAGGATAAATCAGCCAGTGTTTTATCCCTAAAGGATAAATCACAGTTTAGCTATAAAAGAACCAAAACAGCCGTGATAAAAGAACAAATTCAAAGTCCACAACACTCGTGCTAACTGTACTCCCAGTGTTAAGAGAAGACGGTGGCCTCACCATTTGCCCCAAAAATAAAGAATAGAAAGTTATGGCATATATCGTCTCATTGTGCACCCTCATAAAACTGGTGATAAAACTTTAAGTATTTGATATTACCTAAGTCACTTCACCAATTACATTGACACTGGACTTCCTTCAACTACAGTTGTTTCTTTGAGTTGGAAACCTTTCCAGTGACTTTGGACTTCAATTTGCATCCAAACGAGACAAGTTTTAGGACTAGATTATCAATCTCTTCCTCCTTTTTCTCATACACGACGAATGAAATAAAGGCTAGTGGTAGTCCTGCGAAATTGATAGACAAAAGGAGCAAAATGGTTTAAAACTATAACAGCAAAGTGTAAAATATGAAAATGTATTCACTCAGCAACCAATAACCGGGAAAAAAAAAAAACGAAGAGAAACATAGTATTTCAGCCCTCCACAAGGTAGAAACGTGAATTCACAAAAACAAACAGAACATTTGAGCATAGACCAATACCTATTGTGAAGGCATTACGTAGTGAAACTGCACCAAGCATGCTGAGAAACAATAAAGAGAAAGCCACCTGTTTCAGAAACAAAAGGAAAATTGTAGAAACTGTCAACTGACAAAAATAAAAAAAAAATACAGAGATGGCAGTTTTAAACCATAAGTCACAGTCCACCTTTTTGTAGCCATTTGAAAATGAGTAGCAACTTCTATTTGGTTGACATACAGCAAGTTACCAGGAAAAAGTGGATGTATTTTTTTATGCAGAAGTGGGTTTTACACAGGGAATTGTTGCTAACTCATTCTCAATGTAAGTACAAAACACACATCTCAAAATTTGCAGGCATGTCAGCACTGCAAATAGAGTTATGTAAAATGCATATATTATTGAAAATAAGGAAGGCGTTGATATAATTGTTCTCAAACTGATTTAACAATGAAGCTCCAACAAATTACCTTGAGGAAAAGCATAGAGTCGTTTCCCTTACAGAGTGATTTAAGATCACTAACAGCAGAATTCCAACTGGATGCTGCTGAAAGAGCAGCCTTCCGAGATGCAGCTTCTGAGACATTGAACTTTGACTCGGGAATTTTTTCAATTTTATATCCAAATCTGCACCAAGATATAATCAGAAGTAAGCATTCACTCACTGTTACATCTAATGCTCCCCTGGTTCAAGGAAATATTGAATGACCTTAGAAACAAAGAATAATAAGTGGAGTTGGCATATGTACATTTTCTGTGGCAGTCTGCCTTGAATGAAAATGAAAACTAATGCCAGTAATAGAAGCTTGGAAACTGCAGTAACGAGGGTACACCCAGTTGTTATGAAATTGAAATATAATGCGGCCAATATCAGTATTAAAGTAAGTGTCTGCCTTTTGTCCCTCCACAGTAGAGTGTCAGCAACTGCAAGAGCCATCATGAACATGATTAATTAAATGCAACCCAGGTCTATCAAATAGCTAAGTCAAGGTGTTGATTACATATGCAACACAAATAGAAAACACATGCATAAGACTGTCATTCTAATTATCTGAAATGGTGAAGTAAGTTAAATTGTGACAAGATTACAGCAAATTGGCATAGCGAGACAGTCATAATTCGTTTTAAAGTCTTGCATTAAGCTCGACCAAAATCCTTATTCTTCTTCATTTTTACTGAACCACCTGCAATGGAACTTCACCGTTCGCAACTTCTGTGACCAGTTTTGTGTTTATTAAGACCAAAACTGCAATCTTATTGCTTTTAAATAATTACCAGACAGGGCAGCGGCTTTAGCCCGAGTGTTTACTTTACTACGTATTTCCGGACAAGCAGTCCCAGGGTTGTATTGGGGTCGGATCCCATGGATGTGTGTGTGTGTAGTTTTTTCACTTACCCTAAAAAGTGGTATTTGTATCTTTGTAGTAGATAAGCCTGTCCAACAAAAGGAAAGGAAAAATAAAAAAGAAACTGATCTAACTACTCAAGAACACAAAACCCCTGAATGACCTCAAACGTACTTCTGGTGTTTTAACTGCCAACAGCTTTCATTCTTTTGGAATTTGGCAAGCTAAAACATTATTTCAAGCTATCAATTTGGATCTTCATAACACGTACGCAAATTGATGCCACATAATCCACATACATAAAGAACGAGTGCTGAGGATGAAGCTCATTAAACCAAATGGGATCTAAAAGCATTACGTAATTATTCCAGTGAGGAAAAAGAAGATACACAAATAGAAAATAAATAATATTTTCACCTTTTCCACGGCCAAGAAGTAATTCAGCTTTAGATGGCCCATCCTTTTTAGTTCGAACATCAGCCCTCAAGTGTGGGTATGATTCAATAGTTCTTCTAAGGCCCTCCTGCAGAAGAAAACATTGTCATGGGTAATATATTATTTGTACCAAATCACCTCGTGAAGCAACATATTCTAGGACACTGCATTTAAGCATTACTCAGGCTCCTTCTTATTATTGCAAAATAAAGTTTATCACTTATCAATCAAATAATTGGGTAGGAACAATTAAATTCTCTGTAACGAGAAAATGAATCTCAAACAATTTAATAAAGACAAGAAATTCTCAACGTCATTAGCTCAACAAAGTTACATTGTTTAAGTGTACAAAACATTAATCAAGCCAAATTTAGTCTAAATAGTCTGATATAATGATGTGACAAACTTGATTGAAATGGCTAAATTCCATGTCACAACTTACAAGTACTTTATAGCAAAAACGATAGAGCTAACTCATTAAGGGTCACGTGTAGACCTGTAGTGGCACGATGGGTGTATAGCCAATAAGGTCATTTGCTTTAGAACAATCAAAGGTTCTGCTGATAGAGAGAAGTCGAATCCTTGAAGGTGTCAACTGTGGCACCTTCATCCCATAAGGGCCTAAAAGTTTGTATATCAACTCCACCATTTGCGCAATTGGCATCATGACAGAGGCAGGAATCTTAATTTTTGGCCTGCATGCTACAAAAGATCAGAAAAAAAGATACATAATTGCTTAACATCAGGGGTGGGAAAGAGAAGGGCTCACTACGTCAAAATAGAAGAGTACCTTTCATAACCAAGACCTTCAAGAATTAGAGAGATAAATTCCCAAAATTTAATTGCTTCCATATTGGTAATGAAGAATGCCTGCAAATTTGTAATTGAAACCCAACTATAACCGTCCGGGTGAGAAAGAATTATACAGAAAGCTATTAGTGAGTTTGAATGACCAAGCGTCATACTACTTCTGAAAGAATCTGATATCTTGAAATAAATGTCAATTAAGAAGACATTTATATGCTTAAACAAATTTCAGAACCAACAGATCACTACATCAAAATCTTGCAAAAGCATGCCCGCATGGACAGTGCTTCAGAAGAAACAATACTAGAGACCGTCAAAAAAAGGTCCAAATCACATCCTTCACTAATGAATTTGAATATATTATTCCTCATGAATCAATTTACATTATGGATCAATTGAAAGCTACTAGATATAATATACAGATACACAGAAGCAATGATAGCAGAAATCAGACAAGGATACGCTACGACAGTGGCAGTAACTTGATAGAACATGCCTTACTGTGGTAATTTAGGAGCATGCATGTGAAGAACTACTGAATGTCAAAATTCGAAATAGTAACCCACATTGAACCACCTAAAAGTGTGTTAGCTGATATGTAGACAAAACAAATCAAACTTGCAAAAGAGGTTTGTTAATTATATAAAGAATTTTAGAGGGCATGATGCATCATAGGCAATACTGTATGAGACGCATTCCAAATTAAATGGTTTCATTAAGTGCTTAATCTTTGAAAAGCACATTTTTTAAGAATGCAAATATGATTCATGGAACAGAACAAATTATGTGAAAGTAACTTGCTAAAAAACACTGCAAGGGTTACACATTGCACAAGCGTAAGGACTAGAATCACATGCATTTACAAAGACTCTAGCAACTAAGATTTGTAACCAAGTTGCAACACGAGAAAAGTGCTACCTGTCCAGCAGCCTTTTCCGCTACGGTCCCATCAGATGCCAGAGCTCGCTCTGCACATATATGAGCATGTGCAACATTCTCAACATAAGTAAAGTCGTACAAGTTGTTGCCATCTCCAATGATGAACTGAGTATTCCAAAGTAACACATTAGAATATGTAAGGTCTCTAGATATGGCAGGATAAAAGAGCAATTGAAAGAACTATGAAACACATGTTAAACTCACATTAAGCAGCAGAAAATGAAGCATGTTTCACAAAAACTAAATTCCATTCTCCATGTAGAGATTTCACAGATTCCTTTAAGGTGTCTCATATACTTATTATTTCCACAGTAACATTTACATAGATTATGCAGTCAGAAAGGTACATCTGCTTGAAACAATGCAGAAGCCAAGGCTAATAACTAGGTAGATCAAAAATTTCCTTTTAATTACCTTAGATTTCCCTGACCGTGCTGCAGCAACTAATGATGGAACAAGCAACTTATCGCCTGGGCCAAAAATGCTGCTAGGTCGGATGCAGCACGTCAGAAGTCCATGTAAACCATTTGACTTGATAACCAGAGCTTCTCCATGGGCTTTTGTAGCAGAGTACGAGTCATTGTGCTGGAAAAGTTAACCAAGACAACACTAGGGATTCAGATATGGAAAACTCGATGACTAGCTGAGCAAAAAATGAAACCAACTGATGAAACATCAATTTTGAGTCTTATGAGTTACTAGCTCAAACGAAAGTAGCCGAGTAAAATACTCTATGAAAATAAAGAAAATTTCATAGCAAATAGGACCCAATTTACGATGTTCTGTTATTCAAAAAAAAGCTAGATGCTAGAACCATAAACAGTAATAATACCGTCTAACATTATATATAATTCGAGTTTTCCAACACCCGTAAAGAAAATAAAGAGATCAATATAGAATAAGATGAAGTCAACACTACTCAAATACCTTATCAGGGTACGGTAACGACTCATTTCCATTTAGTATTCCATGAACTCCATCAAAGACCACACTTGGGGAGCTAGTATATATAAGTCGTTTGATTTTCAGCTCAACACACGCATCAATAATGTTTTGGGTCCCTGTTCGTCATAGTTAAAACACAGTAAAGGTGAAAAGGTCAATGTCGGATTTCAGAAGAATTAAAGCAAAGAGCTTATATTTTTTAAGGTGAATCCATTGGTCATCTGTGTGGTGAACAATGTGAAAGTGTGATGCATCTTTTCTTCAATTGTTACAGGACGCAAATATTCGTGAACTTGCTCCAGTACTACGAGATGGGATTTATAGGGAAGCGGAAAACTTCAAAACCAGGCGGGTGGAAGTCTGCGATACTGACTCGAATCAAGTGATCCAATTATCCATCAACATTCTATGGGTGCACGCATAATTAAAGAAATTCGTGGTTATTTCAAAAGGTTTGAATGCCCGAAAAGTTGGCAGTTGAAAGAGTTTTAGCAGTAAGACGAGTTCCGGCACTTCTATTAATTTTTTCTCTGGACTTGTAGGGTTATTGTACATCAGAGCTGGCTTTCTTGTAGTATTTTTTTTTAAATCCTAGGCTGAACTGGTTTTGTTGTTGGAAGGATGATGCGAAAGTGGTTGTCCTTAAAATTTTAAATGGAGAGAAAGAAAAGCTGATAAAGTTTGGGTTAGTACAATAAATCGTTTCTGGCCAAAAAAAGGAAAGGAAAGAAAAAAGAAAGGCTGATAGAGTTCACAAGCAATTATAAAACCCAACACTAACCTAAGACATTGACAGAATGATGCAGCTGATGGTTATTAATGGAGGAATCTGGAGCAGCCATATGAAAGACAACCTCAGCTCCTTGACAAACTGCAATGGAAAAGCTAAAACAGATAGTAAGCGTCTCCAATTAAGTTAAAAAACTACAAATATTAAATAAAAAGAAACTCTGAACCAGCAATGCAGAAGTCTTTTCAAGGTAGAGTGTGTATAGATTGCGTTTCAACATTTCTTTTACCAGTAATCCAAGTGTTCAAAATAAATCATGAAAAGCTTCCATGCCAACTAGGGGGATATGATAAACACTTAAGCTGAATATAGAATCATGAAAGTTCACAAAATAATCTTAAAAGGCACGATGCTAAATGCCACATATAAACACACAAGCTATCCAGTCAGTAATTCATTGATCAAGTAATCTATTTTCAATAGCATTGCTCGCATATCAATTATAATTTTTCAGCACGGCTACCAACAAAATTAAAGATCAGAGAGAAAAGTCAATACGTTTGGAGCTTGTAAACCGGTTCATCAAATAATTATACAGAACTTAAGCTGGATAAAACAACTCAAACCAAGCTTAGTGTTGGATTTGTGAATACAACATAACTTCAAGGTTGATAAAATAACTCAAATCAGGCTTACAATCCGCTTCGAGAATGTTAAACTGTTGCATTTTGCATGTCCAGACAAGCGAAACTACATAGCAATATTACTGTACGATGCACGATCCAATGCAGCAAGAGAAAAGATTAAAATTCGTTAATCACAAAGCTAATGCTAATTAAGACCTTTCAGCACTCGAGATTTGTCGCGAAGATCTGCGGACACGTACTCCGCTAGGCCAGACTTCAGAGCCTCGCCTAGAACACCATTCTCCTCTTCGGCATTGAGGTTGATGCTGGGACCCAAATCTGCGACACGCACCGAGAACATGCCATATTTGATGAGCATCGTCACCAAATGCCGCGCCGCGAATCCTCTGCCGCCGGTCACCACGCACCACCTCTCATCTCCACCCATCTTCCCGACACTGGACACTTGCGGTTCGGCAGAATGGGAATTTCTAGCAACACCTTTTCAGCCACCACCAGAGATAGTGAGCTGCCTAACTATGAAAAATAGAGGTCTAGATGTATCAAGTGCGTGATGTACTGAGAGCACCCACAATTAGTCTTTCTTAAATCATATGGACAAATAAAAAATTCAAAAGCTATTCAATATGCAAAAATAAAATACTAGGTCTAGCATACATGTCAACTAGTAAAAATGCTCTAATATGTTTTATTTATTAAAAGAAAATTAAAATTAAAAATGAATGATAAGTGTTTGGGTTTATACTTGGGTCCAAAATAAACTCGTGTGGACTTGGT